CAATCACTAAAGAATATGGGGTTTGAAGAGCAGTGATCATGCAAGCTTCAAAATACATGATGCTGAGATTCTAAAAAGACATTAATGGATAGAGTTATCCCTGCTCACCCCCTCCAGCACCTCCAGCAACGCTCTTCCTGTACACCCATATAGGTTGAAATTAAGTGTCTATTGTGTGGTCTTAACAGATCCGTAAGCAGGGTATATCCAAATGTTTCCAATTTCCCTTCACTGAACTTGAATGCAAAACATTGGAAAAGTCAATTCTGAGTGAAATCTTACAGCACTGCTACAGCATATGGAGATGATTTCAAATAGCACTTTGATAATGTCACAATCTGTTAGAAACTGTCCACCTTATTCTGAAGATATTAAAAGCTCACTTGCCTCAGTCGCATAATTTATGTTCTTCTCGTGACCCATTAGAAAGCTATTCAGTGGATTGTGAAATAGGAACTTTGGCTGGAGCTACTTTTAGGAAGATACTAGCTACAGGCATGGATAGTACAGCTTGTTTTTTGGTCAGTGTCATTATTCTGCAGTTCACAGCTAATAAATTCACAGCTAATAAATTGCATGAGTTATCAGATGAAATGCAGTCTATTGTACATCCCACCTGGGGTAAGTACTTGAGGGAAAATTAATCCTACTGCATATTACAAATGACTTTGCAAACAGCACCTGATAAAACAACTGGATCTATTAACAAACAAAATGCAAACTGCACAGAGTAGAGAAAATGAAGGGAATCACAGGATCTGGTCTGTGGGTACAAGCCAGAGTTTTTCATGCTAAAGCTATGTGTGATTAAATTGTCCTATAAATAAATAGACATATATAGTCCCATCTCCTGTCACACACACAACATAGTATTTTGAACACATCGGTAAGAATATATTAGGTTGGGCTGGACCCAGCCCAGTACAGATATGAATTGCCAGGTACAGGCATGTTAATTAGCAAGGCAGAAAGTGAGGAGCAGCCGAGGGAATGCTGGGGAAATGGATCCAGCATTACTGAAAGTGCTGTTTTGTGGCTACCTAACTGCTCATTCCTTGAGCAAATGCAAACACTATTACAATATTTACTCCCTATTGACAACACCCACTAGGCCAGATTCATGAGTTCAGCCAAGATCCACTTGGCACAGGACCTGGGGAGAGTGGAGAGAGGTGGTTCGAAGCCTCATTTCTGCTCCCTGCCATCCTGAAGTTGACAAAATAAACTTAACCGTTGGCTGTTCAAAGTCACACTGGCAGTAAAGACCTCCTCAGGACCCTTCCATCAGGCAGGGATCATTCATCTGCAAATATTCTAAAATCCTTTAGTTTGTCCTGGAATATAGCCAGCGCCAGTGTGGAGAGAACAGGTGGTGCAATGCCAACTACACCAGGTTTAGGTCACCTAAGTTTTCCCCAAAGCCGAGATAACTTAGCAGCCTTGTTACAGCAGCATTCGGGATCTATGGTGGCATATGTACAATGCAAAGCATCTGACAGGAGGGACTAAGAATCTGGCACAACAGATCAAAAGGTCACTAGATTTTCACTAGAACAGTTAGTCTCTGTATCTCCTCTTAAGTGATAAGTTAATGTACCAAGAATTCTATCGTTAGTTGTCCTGTTTTAAATCCAGAACAACTCCCAGCAGTCGATTTACTTTTCAATTCATTTCTGTAACCCTCATTATTTATTTATTATTTATTTATTTAAAGTTTACTAATACTGTATCACCAGAGATACACTGTGTGACCCATCTAATGGGACAGCAGGGATGCCGTAGCCAAATTATGGCACTAAACAAATAGTGAGCAGAAAAAATAAATAAAAGTCCCAATATAGGTCTCTGTCACACACACAAGGAACCCCAAGAGAAGAATGCATCCGTTCTGTAAAAAAATCAAACCATTTTCATCCTTGGTCATTGGAACAAGAAATTTGTTGCAGTTGCCTGGAGCTGATGCCTCACACCCAGGCCTACCAAAGTCAATGCGAGTTCCAGGACTTTAAAGTTCACCAATGAAGGGCATCTGATACTTGCTGTGGGTTCAATATATGCATGTGCCAGATGCCAGTATGGGATCAAACTGGAGTCACAGTCCTGAAAGACTGAATCCTGAGAACCCTACTCCGTTGCTGTATGCGTCTTACTCTGGTAAACCCCTATTGTCTTTAAATGAAGTTTGCTTGAATAAGAACTGAGAAATGAACCTCAGGATTTGGCCACAGAAGAAGACATATATGGCATGCAGCTCTAATCAGTCTAGCACTGTACCAGGGTCCAGGGACATGATTGGAGGTCGACAGTGTCTGCTTGAGACATGTTCTCTGCTCTTCCTTGCTCTAAGTCACCTGGCTCCAATCTTCTTAAATTACACCCATGTTAAAGTGTTTTGCAGGCAAAAGGAAACACTGTGGCACATCTCCACTCCTCTCCCAGGTCAGTCCTTCCAGCTAAGCTAATCAACCACCACTAACTTTTCCTCCTGAGCACCAATTCCTCCACCTTTGGAAACTATCTTCTCTCTTTCCCCAAAGTGAAAGGAACAGTAAAAACAGTTAAATACAAAGTAAAAAGAAATAAAAACAAAATAACTATCAGGCCCTGTACCAGAAATATAGACAACTCATGTGAGCCTTATTTTTGTAACCCTCATCCTCCTCTCACCCCCACAACTGTTATTACTCTCTGCGTTACTGTTATAACTTTAAATCTGCTTTTAAAAGTGCCCTACCCAGACTTGAACATGCATTTAAACTATACAAAACATATGTCTAACTTGCAGCATAAGTCCCTCAGGGCTGGGACTGGAGTCTCTGTAGTGTGCTTTGCACAGTTATGGAATGGACAGATTACAAACAACAACACCACAGAATAATTTGTGCCTATTTGTCCATTTGGTCTACAAAGCTGATTCCACCAATGATGCTGGAAATGATTTGTTTCACAGAGCACTAAGTTAAAAACCAAGCTATTCTTTCCAACTTTCTGTTGAAAAGTTGGGAGTCCAAATCCCAGGATGGGTGACACAGAGCAACCCTTTGGCTTTTGATGAGAATTGGAAGGGATTTGTCTTTTTGTATCAAAGCTAGTGGGGAAGAGAAGGTGGGTGGCCATGAAAGGGAAAAGCCATGAAATTATCTGCATGGGTTTATAAGAAACACACATTCTCTGTGACGCGGGGAGGGGGGACCTTCTGGGAAATATGCGCATGTGATTCCTCTGGAGGCCTGCAGACCTGAGCCGAATGCTCGTATCAAGTAAAGTTGAGGAAGTTCCTCCCGTAATTGAGAACACACTTGTTGCAGGGCTCGATGTTGGGAGTTTCAGCGTTGCTTTTAGGAGAGACAGTGTTATGTAGGTGTTGGAATTCAGAACAGGCAAAACAAATGCTGACAGAAAAAGACATCTGTGACAGTTTAACCCTCACAACATTGTAGACACTCTTATCTTTGTCCCTCCCAGTGCCTAGTCCCACTTAACTGGTATGCCTTCCCCCAGCAATTCTGTCTTACCTTTTTAACTCTCTCCCTCCTGACCACTATAAAATATTTGTATCTGTCCCACTAACAACCTCTTGCTACTTACCCATTTTTCACTGCCTCTGCCCCAACTTCCCTACTCTCCCTAGGATCAGTTTCCATGACTGTGACACCCTACCCCTGAACTCCAAAGATGACATACCTCCCTTTTTTGTTCCTGGCTTGAGAGAGGAGTTTGGAAATGACAGTATGGGAAGATGAGTCACGTTAGGGTTGAAAAATCAGGAGAGGCGAGGAGTTTCTGGTAGGTGATACTCAAGAAAGCCAATCTACCTGGTTTCCTAGCATCCAGGAGCCTTCCTACTTGCTCAGAACAACAACAGTTCACAAAGCCCCCTAGATATTACACAGTACACCCAAGTTATACCTGTAGGAATTAGCTGTTTCACAGTCAAAATCAAAAGTTTCTAAAAGTTTGTTAATGAACAGACTCTCTATCACATTTCTTTCATGTTCTACTTCAGAGGACCTTCACATTTAAAGCTGACAATAAAAGGATGAAGCTAAATGGATGACAATATTTCTGCTAATTATCAACTTATTAATGAAGTACTTAATCACATAAAATAGAAAATCAAAAGATTTTCTTCCAAAAAACTATGGGAAAGAAAAACATTTAAGGTCCTGATCTTTTGGTTGTTACTTGGGTAATAACATCTGTTGGTTTTGAGTGAAAAAGGTCTACAGAATCAGATGCTAAAACTTTATCAAAAAGAGAAGACAGCAGAGACAGGTTTTTTTGTACCTGGCAGACTCAACCACTATTTCAGAACCACCTCCTTCTTCCAAAGAGCAGTCAAGTTTTCTCAAGAATGGGGCGATGTTATAGTCACACCATTAAATCCCCTGGCAAAACCCCATCTTATGATATTTATCAGAAACACCTTTAAAGATAGAAGCCCACCTATGTCTGTATATCAGTGACCTTGACTCAAAGCCCATGGACTTCACTGGGCTTTCAGTCAGGTCCTAGGTATTTAGAAGAATCTGTTTGGCTCTTTTGGTCTCAAATTATTCATTGAGACCATGGGTTATAGTGCTGAACACACATAGGCGCATGGTGATCATCAAGTTCAGCAATCCCTTCTGAAGATGCCTTAGCCTCTGGAATTAGATGCTTTTTAAATAAGACATAACAGGGAATGGATTCTAGACTAGAATGGTCAAATCTTCCTCCAAAAGTGCTGGGACTCATTGCTTCATCAAACCACCCAACAATTTGAGGGCCTCACACAAGCACAAAGTCAAAACACCAAAAATATACTCAGCAAATGATAACAATTGACTGTGTAGCCCACCTTAGTATTCACAGATCAGTGTAGAAGCACGTCAGTCAATAACTTTACAATAACACCCTGTACTAAGTTTTATTAATCTGAGATACATTATCTAGCAGAGCATCAGCAAACAAGTTGAGAACAATTGACTTTTCAAACAGCAGAATAAAAGCAGACCTACTATGAAGCTTTTCCCTTACTGGTCTTCTGTATCTTTAGCTCCTTTGGTAGAACAAATATGTCCTTCATCCTAACTGGTGCTGATACTACAGGACAAAGATAACTTAGAGTGACTTTCAAAAAGTAACTAGGCAACAGGCTATGGGGTGAGACCCAAAAGAGTTGAAGGGAGCAAATCAATGTGGCGCAGGTCTACCAGTGGAGTCCCTCAGGGCTTGGTACTTGGGCCAGTACTCTTTAACATTTTCACCAACTATCTAGATTCAGGAATGAGATGTGAACTGGCCAAGTTTGTGGATGACACCAAATGATGGGGGAGGGCAGTCACACCTCAGGACAGGCTGGGGATACAGGCCTACTTGGACACACTCTCAAAGTGGGTTGACCAAAACTGGATGGCCTTCAATGCAAAGAAGTGCAAGGTACTGCACCTCAATAGGAAGAACCCTCAGCATACTTACAGGCTCAGCAGTGCTATGCTTGCTAGCACCACGACTGAAAGGGACTTGGGGGTCTTGATTGACTATGAGCCACCAATGCAATGCTGTGGCTGGCAAAGCTAACCAAACTCTGACGTGCATCCACCAATGCCTCTCAAGCAAAACCAGGGAAGTCATCCTCCCACTTTACTCGGCCCTGGTGAGACCGCACCTGGAGTACTGTGTCCAGTCAGTACTGGGCTCCCCACTTCAGGGAGGATGTGGAGAAGCTTGAGAGAGTCCAGAGGAGAGCCACTCGTATGATCCAAGTCCTGGAGGGCAGGCCGTACGAGGAGAGGCTGAGGGACTTGGGATTGTTCAGTCTGGAGAAGAGAAGGTTCAACTTCATAAGAGGGGTGCACCAGGACCTGCAGTTGTTCACCAGAGCTCCCCAAAGGATATTAAGGTCTAATAGCCATAAACTCTAGGAAGGCCAATTTAGACTAGACGTAAGAAAAAGTTCTTTACAGTGTGTGTGTCCAGGTCTGGGACAAACTCCCCCTAGAGGTGGTGCAAGCACCTACTCTGGACTCCTTCCAAAAACAGCTGGATTTATTTCTTGCTGGGGTCACTTGATCCCAGCTGACTTCCCACCTATGGCAGGGGGGGACTGGACCCGATGATCTCATGAGGTCCCTTCCAGCCCCCTAATGTCTAGGAAATCTATGAAAAAGACTGAGAAAGAAACAGAGATGCCAGGATATTAGATAAGTAAAATTAAGAGAGGCAAAGACATAGGGCCACAATTCAGAGGCAATTGCAAAGATGATATATGTAACACCCTGGCAGGTCTCCTTATCTTATACCTGGTTACACTACTCTTGGCTACTTTTACAGTGACAAAGCTAGCCCTTCCTGTCCATCAACACATTATTTAAATTGACATACCAGGAAATAACTTGCAACAACATTTTTGTCACCTCTGATTTTATCCCAGAGAGAGAGAGAGAGAGAGAGAGAGAGAGAGAGACCCCAGAGTTAGTCTGGATATGGAAGTGATCAGTGCAATTATACATAATAAATTAAATATATTAAATGGCTAAAGCATCTGAAGTTTCCAAGGGGATGAACCACCAGAAATCCCAGTGCTTAGTGGAAAATAATCTGCAAAATTACCTGCCGTATTCATCAATCATAAGAAAGTTTCTTATATTACCATACAACATCAATCAAGACAGGTAAACAAATTCATGTCATATGAAAGTCATACAGGAAATAGTCTACTGAAAACTAACTACTCTGAGTAATCATGGGTACCACAATGGTATTTAAAAGAGACTTTTTCATTGATTTTCCAGATGATCTTACTTGACAGGTAGGTTGTCCTTTGAATAATCTTATGTCTCGGTATAAGGAAGTTGTGTGGTACTATAGCATCCTATATGCTATAACTTTCCCACACTTGACTAAATTATTATGAAACCATCTCTTGACATAAATATTATATGTCACAGAAACTTAAGTAACAAAGGATTAGATTATCCAGTTAAATTCAGTGGCAATGGTGATAGCCTGTGGATGACTTAGCTTTTGGCATAAAATCTAATTTTGCGAGATGAGACCCAACTGTGGGCATTTACTATAGGCCACCGAACCAAGGGGAGGAGCTGGATCTGGAGTTCTCTCGAGAACTGACAGAGGTCGCACATGCAAGGGACTTGGTTGTCATGGGTAACTTGAATTACCTGGACATAGACTGGGAGGAACACTTGGCTAGGTCAGATTATTCACAGTTTCCTGACTGCAACTGAGGAGCTATTTCTGACCCAGGAAGTGCAAAGGCCAACCAGAGGTAACGCTCTCCTGAACCTGGTCTTGGGCAGGGGAGATGATCTGGTGTGTGGCTTGAACATTGAGGGTAACCTCAGCGACAGCAACCATGAAATTATTTGGTTCACAGTCTGCTGCAAGGTTGACAAATCAATCAGCAGGATCAAAGTCATGGGCTTCAAGAATGCTGACTTTGACAGGCTCAGGGCATTAGTAGGGGAGGCAATGAGGGACCAGGAAGGGAAGGCAAATGGGGTGCATGAAGAGTGGTCGTTGTTCAAGGACATGATCCTCAGAGCACAAAAGAACACTGTTCCTGCAAAGAGAAAAGGTAGCAGGGAGGCTGGCAAGCCCTCCTGGCTTAATAGGGACATTGCGGTCCTCTTAAAAAAGAAAAGTAAAGGTGTACACACAGTGGAAGTTAGGGACGGTCCTCAAGGAGGACTATACTTTAGTGACCAGCACTGGTAGGGAAATGATCAGGAAAGCCAAGGCGGTGACTGAGATTAGGTTAGCCACGGGAGGCAAGGACAATCAGAAGCCCTTCTTTGGGTATGTAGGCAGTAGGAGGAAAGTGGGGGACACCTGCTTAACACCTCCGGACAGCTGGTAACCCACGTTCAGGAAAAAACTGAACTCCTGAATGTCCACTTTGCTTCGGCATTTCACCGAACTATGGGGAAAGTCAAGCGAGATAAGGCTCATAGGGGGCATGCCAGGACTGACAGCCTCCCCAGTGTGGATGCCGAGCTGGTGCAATACCAACTAGAAAAGCTAGACATTTATAAGTCAGCAGGACTGGATGGACTTCACTCGAGAGTGCTGAAGGAGCTGGCTGAGGTCATTGTGGAAACCCTGGCAAAGCTCTTTCAGAATTTGTGGCACACAGGGGAGACCCCTGAGGATTGGGAGAGGGACAACATTGTGCCCATCTTCAAGAAGGGGAAGAGGGAGGACCTGGGCAACTATAGGCCAATCAGCCTAACTTCTATCCCAGGGAAAATCCTGGAAAAGCTCATTAAAGAATCTTTGTGCGATACGCTCACGGAAGGTAAGATTCTGAATGACAGCCAGCATGGCTTTGTCGTGGGTAGGTCTTATCTTACCGATCTCATCTCCTTCTATGACCAGGTCTCTTACCGCCCGGACATGGGAGACAAGGTAGACGTTATATACCTAGAATTCCAAAAGGCTTTTGATCTAGTATCCCACGATATCCTTGTGAGAAAACTGGAAGATTGTGGGCTCAGCTGCTCGATGGTTCAGTGGATGGGAAACTGGCTGTGGGGTAGGACCCAGAGAGTTCTCATGAGTGGATCTGTGTCATCTTGGCATGAAGTGGCCAGTGGTGTCCCTCAGGGGTCTGTGCTTGGACTGGTGCTTTTCCACATCTTTGTCAATGATTTGGGTGGGGGAGTGAAGAGCTCCTTGGCCAAGTTTGCAGATGACACCAAGTTATGGGGCAGTGTGGCCACACAAGAAGATAGGTTGCCGATACAGGTGGACCTGGACAGGCTAGAGAGTTGGGCAGACTGGAACCAGATGAAGTTTAACACTTCCAAGTCTAAAGTGCTCCACCTGGGGGCAAATAACTCTCAACATGCGTACAGACTCAGAGGTGACAGCTTGACCTGCACCACGGCTTAAAGGGACCTAGGGGTAGTGATTGACCACCGCATGAATGTGAGTTGTCAGTGTGATGCGGTGGCCAGCAGGGCAAACAACATGCTGGCATGCATCAACCGATGCATCGCTTGTAAAACTAAGGAAATGATACTCCTGCTGTACTCAGCATTGGTGAGACCGCAGTTGGAGTACTGCATCCAGTTCTCGGTGCTGCACTTCATTAAGGACGTGGAAAAACTTGAGAGGGTCTGGAGAAGAGCCACCTGTATGATCAGGGACTTGCAAGGCAAGCCATACAAGGAAAGGCTGAGGGATCTGGACCTCTTTAGCCTAAAGAAGAGAAGAGAAGGTTGAGAAGGGACTTGATAACGGCTTACTGCTATATCAGAGGAGTGCATTAGGAGCTTGGTGAACAACTGTTCAGTAGGGAAGACCAGGACCAATGGATACAAACTCCTCGAAGGCCATTTCAGGCTTAATACCAGGAAAAACATCTTCACCGTCAAGATGTCCAGACTGTGGAATAAACTCCCTTCAGAGGTGGTGCAGTCACCTACCCTGGAGGTTTTCAAGAGGATACTGGACAGTCACCTCACTGGGGTCACTTGACCCCAGTTGTCTTCCTGCCTAGAGCAGGGGTGGGGGCTGGACCTGATGATCTGCAAAGTCCCTTCCAGCCCCTAACAAACTATGAATCTATGAACAGCAGTGGGGGGCAGGTTCCTCTTTCCAGTGCCTGGTCTCTGAGGATCACAGTGGGGGAGCAGCAGGGAGCAGGCTCAGGAAGAGGAAACCCACCTATTAATGCTGCTATTCCTGACAGAGCCCAGCATCTTGCTACACCTACTCCTTGAGTCCTGAGGGTGAATCAGGGTGGGAGTGGCTCAGGGCTTCCCCTGTGCCCAGGTCAGCAGTGGCAACAGTGGAAGGGGGATGTGGCCCTAGTGCTCTACCTCCAAGGTTCAAATTATGGGGAAGTCCAGAGTGGGGGCTGAGCACCCACATAAGAGATGAGAGCCTCCCTGTAAGATCTGAAAAATCTGATCATAATCTGGGGGGTCTCCAATTTTGTTAGGTCATTGTGATGGGCAGCCCAATTTTTTTTTGCAGACCACTTCAAGAGTCAAAGTGTAATTTGAACCCTGTGTACCTCTCTTCTCTCCACTCCACGAATCTGTCCCTGGCCTCAGGATAAAAACAGAAGCAATTTA